GCCCCAGGTCTTTTACCATCCTAGTTACACCACTGACAATGAAATAAAGGATATTTATATGCAGCATCGTTAAATCCATAAATGGGCACTCGTAATGTACGCACTGCTATTGGAGACGATTTTTTTTTGTTAGCTTCAGTTGTGCTGCCTCTGAAGATTATACTAAAAAGGAAAGACTAAGTACTCATAATTGAATATTTTATATAAACCGACTGACATGTTTTTGTTCCGATTAAAGTTCTCTTCTAAAGTCATTTTCAGTGGGTTACACAGTAAGGCATTGCAATAACTTCTAGGCTAAAAGAAAATATTGTGTTCTTGGCACTAGTTTAGTAGAAAAACGGTCTGGAATTCACATGAAGTCAGTGATCCAGGTTTAAATTATTAGTGTGGGAATGTGCACAAAACTTCAATAATTAGGCAATGCATGATGGGATATTTCAAGTGGCAGAAATAGAAATGGTGTAAAAAGATATTGAAGGGAATATTCTCTTGGCTCTCCAAATTGGTTAACTAATCTCAAGAAGTTTTACAGATAATCCCCATAATGCTAAAAACATTCAATTGCACCAATCGCTTACTTCACTCCCAACCTATTGTATTCATTTACAATGAACAGCATAAGCGACTGTGCAGAATCAGTAAAAAAAAAAAAAGTCATTGTTTAGCTATCTTACACAGACAAGAGCTTGGTTTTTGAGGGTTAGTAATAAGAGAATACTGTACAAGATTGATTTCTATACTACACTAGAATGTAGGGCTGAAACCAACTCATCCATAATAATCGAAAATGAGAATTGTTGTCAACGATTCTCAGTATCGATTAGTTGGTCTAGGTCCCGTAGTTCTCTCCTCCACGCTGAGAGCCAGTGCTTTATCGGCTCTGTGTCCCCTTCGATCCCCGCTGCTCCCAGCGGGGATCGGAGAGGGTACAGACCCCTGAAGCCGGTGGCCATTGGTGAGGAGAGCTCCACCAAACCAAAACCACCACCCCTCCCACCACCACCACTGCCACGGCATCGGCTCTGCAGCTCTCTGTGTCCCCCCTGCTGATCCCCACCGCTCTGCCTCACCTGTATCAGCAGAGGCAACGGGAATCGGGGCAGAGCCAAACTACATGCTGTCATCGAGCGGGGAGGAGAAAGCTGTTAGGTGGCTGAGCAGGGCAATGAGGAGAGCTGTGGGATGATCAACAAATATGTGGAATAATTGCTGATTGTTCCCTGTAATATTCAAACATCACAGTGATCAGTGCTGATCATTACAATGTTTGCAAATAACTGAGTATTCAGTGTCCCCAATTATAAATGAGCAGGAAGTGCTCTATATCACTTCCTGTTCAGTCATGATTGTGGACATAGTATCTGTATACTGTCCCCTCAATTTATGAATGAACAGGAAGCCAGTGTACTCAGTGCTTCCTGTTTATTGAGTGCTGGGGCTGCAGAAAAATAGATTGAGTACTCTATGTCCTATGTCAATCTCTTATTTCAAAAGGGAAATGTCAGGGGTCTGTTTAGATTTCTGATATTTCCCCTAAGCCCCTAAAAGTAAAAGTAAACACACTTTAAAAAATATATATATTTTTTAAAAATAGTAAAAAACAAATAATTATAAAAAAGTGGCAAAAAGTAATTTTCTGTTTCAGCCTGACAAATTCTGGTGCAGGAAGTGGGTTGTGGTGCCATTCATTTCAATGGTACCCCAAACGCCCCTCCCTCCCACCTGAAGTGCTATCACCCCCGCCAGAAAGTGTAGTACTGCAATGCCGGGCGTTCCAGTGCAGTGCGACTGCAAAAAATTGTGCATGCAGTTTTCCTCTGAAATAAACGTTATGTTTGCAACACTCTGTTTGTGTATTTTATTTTACATTAAGGATTGTATTTAATTTTTTTAATCTGATTTATCGAAATAAAATAATTGGCCAACTAATCGATTCTGAAAATAATCGTTAGCTGCAGCCCTACTAGAATGATGGATATACACACACTTACATTTTGTAACTTTCTATTCAGTGGGTTAAAAATCTTTTTACTAGAGAATCAATAGCTGAAGCCATGTGTTCCACTCCTAACTGACCCAGCATGGGCAAAGCACAGGTTCACTTTAAATGCTGAGTGACGTCCTTTAGCATCTATTTCCTTTTCCTTTTTTTGTCTGTCTTTTTTTTTTTTTCATTATGCTCGCACACGTGAGCTGTTTAGTACATTGATGTTGGACAGAAAGTCTTCTATTTATATAGATAAGGAGGAGATCACAACAAATGTTTGCTGCAGACATAGGCGGATCCCTATGCCAGATATTCCTCTCAGACTGTTTTGAGTTTTGTTTCTGCTGATGGGGGATAAATTGGCAAGAATAGGGTGATAGATATGATCTGTTTTACAGAACTATTATATATTGTGTGTATGGCTTCTAGTGATCCCCCCCTTACTACTTGACTATGCTAATGTGGAAGAAACTGAAATGCAATTGTATGCTATACTGATTGTGCATCATGTGCTATTTTATTGTTTTATTCTACTTTGGAAAATTAATAAAATACTTTGAAAGTTAAATGCTGAGTGAGTTGCTGCAAATTTGCCCTATAGCACTGGAGGACTGTGGACAAGGCGTTATTTGAGTTATAGTTTACAGTGCTTTTCTATTGCCACTCTCCCATAAAGCTGGGACTGGAAAAGCACATGGGCAACTGTTGTTGTATCCATAGTATCTGCCATCTAAAAGGTGGCCATACACTTTACAACCCTCGCAAGACTTTTGTCTTACGAGGGTTGTAAAGTACTTAAAAAACCGTACGATCTGCCCATCTTGGACAGGCAGATCGTACTTGCCATCATCGCAAGCCCGCCCCCTGAGGGGCGGGCTTACGATGACTGCAATGAGGGGCGGGCTTACGATGACTGCAAACAGGCTGTGTGCGCGTGCGCACAACGGCCCGTTCGGCAGTTGTCGAACCAGCAGGCCACTAACTCGCCGAGAATCATACGATTCTCGGCGGGTTTTCCAGCCTGCTTGTTCGACGGAAGACGTGCAACCGTACAGTAGAAACGGTCGCACGACTTCCATACACTGCACGATTCTCGTACGATCGCGGGATTTCCCGCGATTCTCGTACGAGAATCGTGCAGTGTATGGGCACCTTTAGCCAGCAAGGTCTGTAACCCCTTTTCTTCTGACAAACTACCTCACTAGCCTCATTCTTGCATATTCACCTACTTTTGGTTACTTTTTCTACGTAAACCATGTGTATAAAGTTCACATGAAGTTTTTTTTTTTCGTTTACCCAAGTTTCCTCCAGTTTGCTTCCACAACTCAGAATATATTGACATGCCAGTATATTTCCCTACAGATTGACCCTATTGTCCATGTAACTGTGATGGTCATAAGATTGAATATCTTGGTGCTACAAAAACAAGTTAAATAAACAGATATGCACTTTAATAATGAATACTCCTGTTGGGGACTGTGAGGTTCCTTGTGTTTAAAGCTAGCATACTGATTGACAAGGCACACTGTCAGCAAGGAACTAATTTCCAGTAATTCCCTTAACTGACATGCTTAAGGAATCCAATTTCTAGCAATTTAAGCACTCAGGATTTATTGATTTCCAGTGACCAAAAAAAACCCCCCAAACAATTCTCTAGAGATATCAAATACAAAGGATGGACAATGTTGACTAAAAGAGTAATGTCAAGAACAAGATGCTGATTCCTAACTTTCTCCTAAATGCACATTTGTACCCTTGCATTATACATTAAGTATTCGATGTGATGATGTGTGGTGACAAGGAAGAAGCAAGACATTGCTACTTATGGCTTTACAGTATGTATGAAGATTGTGCTAAAAATAACATATATTGTTGTCCATGCCAACCAGCTAGCTTGCTAGAATTATTTTTTCATTGAATTAACAATGGACTGCATAAATTATATTTTTTGGATTGATGGGCAACAAGAAATTTTACCTTTAGCACACTTTTCATAAAATCGGTCCTTCAGTGCATCAACTGATTGACTATTTTTTCCACAAAGAATGAGCGTGACAACAGCATCTCTTGTAACTAAAAGTCAAACAGGGTAATTTCTACACATGGGCAAGGTGCAAACATGGTCTCAGACACATTGCTTTCAGCATGTCGCCCATCGTATCCTCTAATATCTCTGCTGTCTCTGGTAGTCCTCTCTAGCATTACTTATACCTGACATTATGTACCGACTTTGGTGATGTCAGGGGCTGCAATATACCTCATAAGTGCACAACCACTGCTCTAGGGGCAGCATTAGAAATGGTTCTTTCTTCATCTCCTGGCCTCTTACTTCCTCCTGGATGAACAGTGCTCTACTATTCCCCAGGTATGTACAGGTAGGGACAGCCGTAAGGGCAGAGCTTACTATAGGCCAGACATAGTAATTAAAGTTTTGCCTTGAGTAGCATAAAAAAAACATAAATCTCTTTTTGTGTAATGAAACAGTACATTCTACAAATGTATGTACCATAGCCTCATATTAGTCTTCACTATTTTAGATGACTATAATTACAACTCCCGTAGATCTCATCACTGGACGCAGTTGCATAAGAACTGTATGAACTAAAGGCACTTTATTTCCTAACACACATGAACACTGAATAATAATACTACATATTTCTACTATATGAGAAGAGAAGAACCAAAGAGCTATGTTGAGGTCAGGTGTAGACATAAATTAATGGAATTCGCTATAGAAGGCTGAAGGTTATAAGCAACAACGAGATGAAGAAAGTATGAAAAAGTTGAAAATGTGTATTTTATAGCACAAATTGTTATGATACACAGTTATTTTGCAAATTAAATGTTATCTAGTTAGGGTTTACATTCACATTCAGGTAGCTCATAAAAAAAATGCTCATTAAATATCCATACATCTATATACTGTATACATTGTCGGAAAATTGGCACCAACTAAAAGTACATTGATTTTATATTTCCATACATACAACCCATATTATTTTCCACCCACCTGTGCATAGCGGCTTTTACACATCACTCCATTCCACCGTGGCACAGTAAGGCACCCTGGATGACGTAGGAGGTAATTGTCTGCTCGACCGACAAATGTATCAGCGTAACCCGTCAGTGAACCATCCAGGTCATGGAAAATTGAGACTTTATCACCATCATAGTCATTGGATCCAAACCACTGCCCAGAGCGACCAAAAAATACTTTCAGTTCAACCTAAAGACAGAATGAAAAAATTACATTACATTGAGTACACCATCATTTCGTAAGCAAAGAGATTAAAACTCTTCCTTAATCCAATGCAGATGCCTTTGGCTTTAATAAAATTAAACTTCTTCTTGTTATGCTGCAGTTAATATGTGGATTAGGAAAATAATTTATCATTTGAAAAGATCATAGCAGCATTTAACAACTCCATCTGCAGCAAATAAATAGGGTATAGCCCAAATTAGCATCCGTTTCACAGATGTGGTATGATCTCTACTCTGAAAGGCAGAGCATCACAAATAAAAACAATACTTGGCCTGGTATAAAATGTGGTTAATTAAGAAAGCTCTAGATTTGGTGCATCTGCTCCCTTATCTGTATTAGTACATTTAACTTGTGTCCTTAGTAATTGCAAAAACCACATAACAGAGGCTTTGGTTTATAGTTGTCATCATACATCACACAGACACTTGTAAACAATGAAACCACCAGCAAAAAGGAATATATTAATGTTACTGTGTTCTCTGCTGAACTGTCTGGTACAAAAACGAGTTCATTCTTGTGTATGCAACATGATTAAGTAAGCTTCCCTGGAGCAAATATCATATCAAAGATCAACCAGGATGATAGCAAATTGGTGATATGCTGCAAGATTTTCAGGATATTCTTTAGATGATACCTTCATATCTCAACATAATGTACCATTGTGTGCTTATAATTAGTAAACTTGTACTTCTTTGCCTTGAGTACATGCATGTAGAACTGTCCAGTCCATAAAGAGTCCTAACATTCATAACTGCCTGGATTCCTGAATGAAAAAAGCATAATCCAAGAAGTTTCCATTTTTAGTTCCTAAAAGTCTGCAACACCTTTGCCTAATATCACTTGGATAAATGATGGCAGTTAGGGGTAACGCTAAAGGGACAGTAAAAGGTGTGGGCAAGATTTAAGAGTGATAACATTACTGCTGGTAATATAACAATTTAGCTGGCACTCTCCAAGGAAGTGCACACGTGCAGCAATCCACACACAATGATCTTACTTTACAATCCAAGCTAACATTAAATCACCGTGTTTATCAGATGTCAAAAATAAGGGGAATAACATAAACAATGCAGACACTCGTGTCTCTCTCTATTTATGGAATTGTACATTCTGTTCAGTGTGAGAAAGATACATTCCTGCTGTGTTGCCCAATCATCAAGACACCAAGATACTCCCCTTCATTTAAAGAACTGATAGCGCTCATTGTGGATGTCTACCTTCTAACTGGGATGACAGATCTTTCACAATATTAGTTATAGAGAGAACATAAAGCATATTTTTATAGCCTAAAGCATGCTGAGTCAGGACCTTATAATGGAAAGGGTAGTGATAAACTAAGTATGAAGAATAGTACCAATGTCCAGAAAAACAATTTCAGAGAGATCCAAAACCAGAAAGACAAAATGTACTCAATTAGTGCCACTATTACTTCATTTTGTCCAAGCCAAAGATAAAATGGTAAACCAAACATCTTCCGGAGCAGCATTCACTATCATACACAAGTAATTGAGGACCAACATTAGAGGGGCAATGCAGGATAACTGAATAGGCATGATGTTTCAGACTAACTTACAACATGTTCCAGATTAAAATAATCACTTCTGTAATTGGAAAACAAAGCAAATATCTGAAGATTAGATCAAGGTTTTTAGACTCTGGTGCAGCATGAAGGTTGCCACGTTTTAATTATCCTCTTGTAATGCTTTCTCTGTGCAATACGTTTAAGAGAAACAAAAACAAAAGCTAGCATGTTTTGTCCTGAGTTTTTGGCACAAAGCTGTGGAATAATATGTATCTTCTGATTCATCTTTCCACATTATTTGCCACTCAGAACTTACAGTAAGAGATTTGTGTGGGGAATCCACTTCTACGTCAGCAGCTTGCAGTTGGATTCGGGTCATTTGGTAAAGGTGGGGTAGTGTGGACATAACTTTCTCCCAGCACAGGCACACATTAACTCTGTTTGAACAATTTTCTCAAGATTTATATTTGCTTGGGGTGATGAACGTTAACTCTCTAAGAACCAAGCCAAAAATGTTTGTCACGGATCAGTACATGATGGAGGATTCTTGAGTTGCATCCCCGGTAGCACCACTTGGTTAATCATCCCGCCACTTTATGTCTTTCTCCTGCAAGACTCAGCGGGTCTGGCATTTCAGGGTGTAGCCCAGAACTGGTTCAGACAATACCTCTGCTTTATGATGGATAATGAAAAGCATATCAGCTCAGCTGAGTACAAGCTCAGGAGAAAGGTCAGGGCAATCTGCAAGACACACACAGCTACCAAATTGCTTTGCTCCAAGACTCAGCAAGGAGCAAACTGCCAACACAAACAGACTTTTAGACTGGAGCTCATCAATAACTTCAGACTCCTCAGCATGTTACATCTCCTCCCTGCTTTAAGGCTTGTCCTAGCTGTTATAAATTCAGTGTCTCTACTGAAAACAGACTGCACAATGTAGTGAAGTTGGGATGTTTAACCCCCTGCTTAAAGGTGGCCACATACCTTACGATAATAAAGTCCGATGATCGAAACGTCGTACGATATTCGTATGGCGGCCCCACAATGCCCCGATTATCGCAAGATTCAATTAGCCGTAATTTAAGAAAACCAACTGGAGGAATTGCGGTAATCGAATGTTGGTATTTTTGATTGCGTATGAGCAGTTTAGTTCGTACGATTTTTGACGTACGGAAACGCCACTAACCTTGCGATAATCGTACGATCCACCAAAGTTTTCGAACATGCTTGAAAGTCTAAAGTCGTACGATTGTACAGTAATTGCGGTTGCACACTGCCCACACACCTGGCGATTATCGGACGATAAGTCGATCGCATACGATTATCGTACGATAATCGTAGGGTGTGTGGGCACCTTAATAGGGAATATTACTATGTAACTGAAAATGTGTTCTATTTGGGAGCAGTATGTCTTTGGACTACTAGGGTCAATTCCCACAAGGGACAATAATTATATGGTGGTGTGTGCATGTGTGTTCCTATTACTATGGTAGAAACAGCAAAATGTAAGCCCCTTCATGGGACTGATGTCAAAGGCTCCACTTTCTCTTTTAAAGTGTAGATGCTTGTCAAATTACCATGCTATTAATATATTCTACTTACACTTCTCTCCATCTTGACGAGGGACACATTGTTTTGAGGTGTGATCTGCCAAGAGTTCTTCAGTGAAAACCCAATTGCACTTGATGGTCTTTCGGCCGTAGGGAGAAATTTCTTGAATGTGCACCTGAGGAGCCTGACTGGCCCATCATATATTTGAAATCCACGAATCGGAAAAGTCCTAGACATTAAGAATGCAGAAATATGCTATTTGATATCAAACCCAATTATTTATGTGTTAGGTTTCAGCAGTAGAACCTTATGAAACTTTGTACATATATTTTTGATTGCTTTTTGTTGCAGAGAGATGATAGTACCATTAATACTCTATGCCTGCATAACAGAGATTATTTTATTATTACCCATTCCTAAATTAGGTGCAAAGATTCTCAATTCAAACAATTTAAATTGGTACAGAACTTTGCATACTACAAATGAATCATACTGAGCCACTTAGTGGTAAGATGTAAGACACAGACAAAAGGTATTCTGATCTTATTATTTTATACTAGTAAGTGCCTGCATATTTTGAAGGGGTAAGATTCTCTTAATTATTCACTTTTCTATTAAAGTCCCAACCTCATTCATCCCTCCAATAGAAGCACACTTGCTGGCCACTGAGGTGCTCTAATAGAACAGGGTAAGGAGAGATTAACCAGGTCTAATGCCATAGTCAGAAAATGTAAGCTCTTAATGATATCAGCTCCAGAGGGGTATACAAAGGTATTCTGATCTTCTAATATCATACTAGTGAGCTCCTGCATATTTAAGTGCTTTTTGGAGGGGAATGATTCTCTTAATAAAAGGATCTATAAGGGCCAACACATGAGAGCTGCCATTGAGAGCTGACTTAGTTCTTAACGATGCAGGCTCTGGGCTGCCATCCTGGTCGTGTATTTGCTACCTAGTAGGTTGCTGAATCAATAACCAGAGTCAGTGAGGTCTGAAAAGTCATAAACCCCTGTTCTGAATACTTGTTTTAGGTCAGTGAAACACTAGTTAGTAAGGAAGACAGTCCCAGAACCTGTGCCAATCAAAAACAGTTCAACAGTGACAGCTTCTATAAAGGAGTTACTTTAATGTGTAGCAATAGCCAATGTTTTAGCTTTGGATAAATAATGGTAAAAATCTGTATTGTTTTTATATACCTTTCACCCCTAATGCACACTAATGTACATTTTTTGGTTCCAGACCCAGTATTTTTCTTTTTAATACAGGCTTCTATAAGGCACGCTACAGAGCTAATGGCCACTTATAAAATATTCTGAATTACACTATTTATAATTGTTTTCACACAAGAGTAACACAACTTTCAACAATTAGAAAAACATGGGAAAGTTGTGTTGATCTTGTGAAAAAAAGACATTTTAGTAATTATACTTAGACCCTTTGTAACCAGATACCAATTAGAAAAAGAAAGAGAAAAATGTAATGAACAACTCTTACTTGTTTCGTGGCAGTGACCTCTGCTCCCCTGAGCCTCCACGTCCCCAGTAGCTGTTCTGCCCACCCTGTGAGCCCACATTTTCGCTCTCCCCCACAAAGATGGAATCAGAGACCTCCAGGCTGGATCCTTCATCAGTTGGAAATGTTCCATCACTAAAAGCATTACAACAAACCTGCTTTGATTATTATATACATATAAATATAATACATATTAATATAGAAGTATGCTTTAGGCAGCAGAGTGTATCGTCCATAGTAATCAATCCTATTTAGACTTCTTTTTTTCAATGTAATATGGACTCTTGATTTGCTATTATCTCCTGTTGACCTTCTGTAGCCAATGGTTGCATTTAAACAATAAAACTATGGATCATGTGTCATCTTACCAACTGTCACTCCATGATAGTTAGATTCTACATATCTTCAGACAGTCAGTATTAGCAGAAGGTTAGGAGTGATTAAAAGTGAACTTGTTAGCCATTTCTGTCTAAGAGTATGAAGCAAAATATGTCTGCTATTACTCTAGTTAGCCAGAAAATCTTAATCTCAATTGCCTTGTAAAACTGTTTTTGTTTTTTTTCACTTTTCTAATTAAAGGCTTGATTACCCTGATTCAAGTCTAAGCCCTGACGTCAGGCCATTCACCCGTCCAATAGAAGCACCCTTGCTGAGTAATGATACTGTAGGTGAATCAGGTCTAGCCCCAAAGTTCAAGAATTCCAGCTCCAGAAGTATAAGCAGACAAAAGGCATTTTAAATAGAAAACAGCACACTTTGTTTGCTGTTCCTCAACAGGATTTTATGGCTGATAGGTTTTCTTTAAGACATACAAACAGCACACATCTATGCTTCTATGTCCAAGTTTTACTGCAGATTAGTAAATAAAAACTAGTGTTTTATTGGCTGCTTTGGGCAACAGTTAAACTACACTGTACTCTGCTATTTATAAAGGATACCCAAAAAGTTAGCAATACATTGTAAAATCTTTAAAAATCACCTTATATGATAATAAAAAAGTTTTAAGTAATATAAAAAAAAAAAGTGTATAAAAAGAGAGATTTGCTGCTATAGGATGGGAAAAAAATGAAATTTTTATATCGCGAGCATAGCATCAGTAGTTGTGAACAAATGTCATGGCTTCCTCAGCGCTAAGTAGCAACACTAACTGCACACTATAAAATTATTATAGACACTGCCATACTACCAGTCAAATCCCAAGCTTGCCACCTTCCCAAACAAAACATTTCTAGGAATTTAATTACGAGGTGTGAAAACGGCTGGTTCATTGCCAGCTATTACCATGGAGTAAGCTTAGCTACAGGAAAAAGCCAGTACAAGTTGTGCATACATTTACTAGTGATTCATAGCCTGGAACGCACCAAGCTCAGCAGTAAGTTCATTGCCTGCTCCTAGAGTGGGAGGGGAGCTATGCTCTGCAGATGTGGTGACGAGAGGGACCAGTATTGGGATGTAAAGAGTAAAGTGGGCATTTCCTAAGGAAAATACTGTCACACTCTGCAAACACTAGGTGACAGAACTAATAAAGCAAGACCAAAATGAGGCTTAGAGCCAGTATGTATGGAGACAAAGAAGTGCAATAAATCTGAATTCTCGGCATAACTGTTCATAAAACGGTGTGGGAAGTATTTCTCACGTTGGCACACAGTCTAGAATTTTATTCTAATATATGTTTTCTTACCTGGCTAACGTAAGACCTATTCCATTGTCTGAAAACCTGGATGGGAAGACAGACACCGAATAAGAACAATGGACAACATTAATACTAGATGAGAACTGACCTAAATAGTAGTAAGTAGTTAAAAGTTAATACTTTTGATTTGTGCAAATTATATTAGTCTATTCATTTAATTCTTGCTATCATTAACCAATGTCATAGCAGACAGATACTGTATGCATTTAATACCAGTGATCATTAATAAAGAAATGCTACATAAGAACTGTCTGCACCAGAGTCACCACAAGTCCAGTCCTGTTTAGATAACAAGTGGTGACTGGAATCTAAAAGTTTAAATGTGATTGGTGGAGGTGGACAACACCCACGGATCTGATTTGAAACACCTCTAAATAAAGGTCACTATAGAATTGCTTAGTGTGTGTATATGGCTAAATAAGACCAAACAGTGTAGAAAGCAATTATACAATGTGTCAACCTGAACACAGTCAGACTTTGTATCCCATCATCAGGCCTATCTTCAGCCATGCATATCAATTGCCTTTACTTATCTTAAATAAAATATAAAACAAAGCCAAATTATCTGTAAACGTTTATTGGCAACATTTTGGAACTTTCTACCACAAGCAGTGGCATCAGCAGAGAATATTGATTAATTCAAAAATCAATTAGATACCTTCCTCAGAGACCATAACATACAGGGGTTAAGGTACATTTAAAAACTAAGACAACACAGTGGCTCGTATACATACATGCACGCACAACACACACAGACACACAAAGGTTGAACTGATGCACCTGTGTCTTTATTCAACCTCAAATAATATGTAACTATATCTCTATGTAACTATATCTGTAAAAGTTTGAAACTTATAAATTTGATCCCTTGCAGAATGTTTATCAGGGGCTGTCTTCAGGTGCCAAAGACAGAAAATTTATCTGTAAGAAATAAGTCAAGGCAACTTGACTTGCTGTATTTTTCTTTATTTCAAGAAAAATACAGCAAGTCCAGTTGTCTTGACTTTTTTCTTACAGATATACCATGACCTGGATGAATGAGAACCTTCACAGACAGACAGGAAATGCTCTACTAATCTCAATGTGGGCAGATTGAAGGACTCTCACCCCATTCTAATGAACAACTTTATCGCCACTTTCAAAAACTGTTTTTCAATACCTAGATATGCGTTTGTGTGCTTTACTAGCAGCTGACATACCCTGAGTTTCGAAAGATGATATCCCCACCCCTGGCCCATGCACCGTGGTCATTGTTCTTGAAGGCTATGAGCCCATCAATAAGGGCCGGTACTCGAGGTTTAGTTGAATCAGAATCCTGGTGAGGACGGAATCTGAAGAAAAAAAAAAAAGGAATACAATCATTAGTAGAAAGAACTGAGAAATCTTATGAGGTAACATCTCTGTAAAGTGACATTCCAGAGAGGAGACCAGGAATTAAAAACATTAGATTTGCAAGCTAGAGGACTACATATGCTGCAAATAGAGTTATACTTTACACACACCGACAGATTTTTTCATAGTTTAGTATGAAAGTAAACAGAAATACGGAGCCTCAGTACATTGAGTCACTGACATGGAAAATGTATGCTGATAAGTCAGAAAAATCATGGTGGCATCTTTAATAGTCCTTTATATTTCTGTAACTTCAAAGGGAACATCTAATGTTTTTTCATTAAGCACACATCTAGTGTTATTTTTGTAGTATTTACCGTATATACTCGAGTATAAGCCGAGATTTTCAGCCCATTTTTTTGGCTGAAAAGTGCCCCCCTCGGCTTATACTCGAGTCAGCGCCAGGTGTCTTCTTACTTACCTCGCCGAGCGTCGCGTCACTGCTGCTCCGGTGTGCGGCGCTCCGAGCGGGGTCATCTGGCAGTCTCCGGGTCCTAATTTAGGTGGCCATCATTTCCCACCCTCGGCTTATATTCGGGTCAATACTTTTTCCCAGTTTTTTTTGGTAAAATTAGGTACCTCGGCTTATATTCGGGACGGCTTATACTCGAGTATATACGGTAACTTACAGGTGGAATTCCAGGTAAAAGAGCACCCACCAATAGCAGCACAGTTACCTCCAAAGACAAGCATTTTATGCTCAGATGGCTGTTGCTTACTGTTCAAATCCTTTCTTCAATGCTTATGGCTCCTCGCCACAGCGGTCTTGTTCCAGTGCTGGGACTAACAGTACTACACTGATGATAGTGGGTGGCTTGCTCTCCACCTGGCCTATTCACAAAAAGTATTGTGTTCTTTTCACGGAATACAAGATGATCTGTGATTATATAACAAGTGATTGGGACGTTCATCTGACCCCCTCCCCTCGTCCATTCACAGAATTATTATTACATAGTATTTATATAGCGCCAACAGTTTGCGCAGCACTTTACAATGTAGGGAAGACATTACAACTACAATACAATTCAAGACGGTAAGGAGGGCCCTGCCCCTGAGGGCTTACAATCTGAAAGAGGAAGGGGAAATGATACATGAGGAGGTAGCTGTGTGGGGATGAATTGTTTGAGAATGTGATGGTTCGTTCAGTGGTTAAGTTGAGGTGGGATAGGCTTCCCTAAAGACAGTCAGGGTGGGAGATAGACGGACAGGTTGGGGTAAAGAGTTCCAGAGGATGGGAATAGGAGGAAATATCAAGAGCCCAGTTTTTGAAAGATGGAGTTTTAAGAAATGTTGTGACATCCAGACGGATATGTCAGTTAGTAGATTAGTGACACCAGAGGAGGTGTAGATAGAGAAGAATTTTCCACGGTTGTAGCGTGGATGCCTTATAAGATGGGCAAGGTGGAGGTAAGAACCCATTTCCCTTATATTATTAAGATGAGCTGACAGCACTACTTCTCCATAGATATAGCACAGTATGTGACTGTTGTCACCCTATGACTGGAAGTGTGCTATTGATGGGATCATATAGTGGAAATACACTAAAAAAAAGACTGAAAAAAAGGTAACTAATGCAGCCACAACATCTAAGGACTAGTAAGCTTCAAAATATATTACATATTTTGTTGGGTTTAGATACACTTTAATGTACCTTTGAATATGACTTTCACATTTTTACAAGCTTTATTTTTTATATTTTTGCTACTGTAATAGCAGTAGAGATTTGTAGATAAGCCACTAGATTAGCTACTGCAATAACACTGCCTAACTGCTAAGTATCTTTTGAGATAAGATATTAGTTACATAGGGAGTGCGTTGTTTGTAGCAAGTTGGCTGACTAATAGACTTGCATTCTTAGAAGAAGCTGTAGATTAAAATCATTGTATAGCACTGCAAAGCAGGAAGAGCCTGCATATATAATGAGAAAAAATGTCTGCACATATGCAATTATATACTGTTGACCAATGCATGTATTCTAAAATATTAACATATACTAACATTATTTAGACTGAGCTGATCTCGTTTACATGTACATCTAAAAAATGATTTACATACACTTTAAACACATTTAGATAGGTATAAAGGAGACTTATCAGTAATACCCACACATCATTTATGCTTTTCTTAGAGAAATAGTATCAGTTCACTACAAAAGATACCCAAGAAGCGATATGTCTAAAAATGTGTGTTATCAATTCACATGGAGCCAGAGACGCCTGAAACATGGAACACTTCGTTCTTCCCGGACTAACGTTTTACTAAAACAATATTGTTTCAGCTTACACAATGGATACCTCAATCTGGTGTAGACAGCTGGTACACATGTACATAACCAGAGACTCACCGTGCATTGTCCACCGTTAGATACTCTCGTGGGTTTTCTGCATTCGCTTCTGTTGCTTTGACACCTTTTCCAATAAATAAACCAGCCTAGAAATGAAGAGTTTTAAAAACAGAACTTTCATGAAAATGTTCAATTCTTTTACATATTACATAGTTTGACAAACTTAATGTCCATTTACCTTGAAATTAGAGTGTACTCGGTTGTTGTGAAAAATCCCCAAGGGGGTGAATTCTGATTGTCCCTCCGGGTAATGCCCCTCTGAAAGACCCGATGGCACTCTATGAAAAATGAACCAGATGCCAACATCCTGAACAGAGAGTCAATAAGAGAATGTGTTTGTTATTAATGCCATGACATTCAGGGACAGGTTGCATTTCTTAAAACCCCTCTAAAAACTGTACCGTAGCGTTATCATACAATTAAAGTGACGCTAAACTCAGAATTTAAATCTTAAAAATACATTAAAAGGAGAACTATGAGGTGAGTGATTTTCACTCACCTCATAGTTCTAGCCGACCTGTGACAATTAAACTGTCACTGGTCAGCTCAGTAGATCGGGAAGTGAGCGAACACATACCGTCGCTCGCACCCATCTCGATCCGGTCACTGCAGAGAGCTGTGACAGGGGAGGGACTGAATTCCCCCGTCCCCTGTCCGATCCTCCAGCACTGACTGGCGGAAGGGACAGGGGCGGGTACAGCTGGCTCTGCCTCTAGATAGGCAGAGCCAGCTGTCAGTCACGCAGCTGGGTGGATCCAGACAGAATTGTTGGGATCCGTTTCAGCTGCGGCGTCTCAGTATACCGCAAGCTTTGGGTGACGGGAGGACGCTAGTTTGTGTCCTCCCGTTACCCTTAGGAGAACTATGGGGAAAAGCCCTGACCCCATAGATCTCCTTTAAAGTACCTTAACTATTTACAAAAATGTATATTTTTTGTGTATCACTCAGCTGTAGATCCTCAAATCATCTCTGAATTGGTGCTGACCCTGTCCTTCCTTCTAGAGGGTGGCTACCTTTGTCCTCAATGGTCCCTGTGTGTGTTGTAAAGTAGCCGCCGCTCCAAGCTCGCTCCCATGATGGACTACAATCTCACGTTTAGTTTACTAATTGAGTTTGCAGTCCATCATGGGAGCGAGCTTGGAGCGGTGGCTACTTTACAACACACACAGAGACTATGGGGAACAAAAGTAGCCACCCTCCAGAAGGAAGGACAGTGTCAGCACCAATTCAGAGATGATTTAGGGATCTACAGCCGAGTGATACACAAATAAGATACATTTTTGTTAATAGTTAAGGTACTTGAATGCATTTTTAAGATTTAACTCCTGAGTTTAGTGTCACTTTAAATAACTATCAAGTTTAAAAAAGAATATGTAAACAGCAAGTATGCAGTTATCACCTTCCTATACTTCATATGGAAAAGATACATTGAACTGGCTGTTATGAACAGCTGTACTTTGTGTGACATCGCTGATCCCTGCAATGCCTAAATACAGTTTAATACGGCTTTAATTAGTTTACTAGTAACTATACCTGGACAAATTAGAATAAGCATCACAACTTGCACCACCCAGGTGAGTTGGAGAGGGACACACCTTTATAACTAACTATATGTATACATATATATTATATAGTATCCTAATAAAACGAATCACACATTAATGTCTGTAAACATATAAACTTGCAAAGTTTCTGATTTGACACGGTATTCATTAGTAATAATTATATGTGGAAATAATTTACAGTCTGTCTTCCTGTATAAAGTACAGCCATTAACATTGGCTCACGTGGTGAAGGACAATTATGAAAAAAGTAATAAAGAGATGAAATAGTAAGAGGAATAGAATTAATTGAAGCCTGGCACCCACCAGAATACCCCCATTTAGGGGGGAACGATTAGGGACAGCAAGGAATGCTCAATTCATATTTATTTATGCTATTTTTTAAAATGTTTATTATTGTTGCAATTAATTAACAGATTGAATTAGGGGAACAGAAAAACTAACAAGCAAAAGCATACGCTATAAACAAGCTGTGCACAAAGGACCTTTCTAAAACACAATATTTACAAGAATAATAATGAAAAAGTATACAAGGTGATTGAAGACCATATAAATACACTATTAATTATGGAAGGGAACCAATCAAGTCTTATGTAGTGCAGCTCTCTGCAGCCAACCCTACGAATGATTAGAATACAAAAAAAAAAAAAACCATAGGACAAGAACATTGATAAAGTGTAGTTTAATTAATTATTGTGATAAGAACAAAAAGTGTAGCACATGCAGAAGTGGCCGTGGGCATAGAATGCCTGGACTGAGGATGGATTTACTACAATATGTAGATTTGCTTGTCAACATGTAGACTTACTTGTCTTTCACACATTATTTTGCTTTCATTGAATCAGGAGGCACAGGACTCCCTTGTTCTAGGGTAATTTATTTCAGGGTTGTATAATTGATATAATTGGACCTGATATATCATTGTGATTCAGGGCTTGGTCATGCCAGCACCATTGCTCAACACAGTCTCAATGCATAGACAAGGCAATCTGCCTTATATCATATTGCTTCAGTTCACACCAACGTTCTGCACTGACATGTGAAGGAGGACATGTTGCAATGTGCTATAGCACATTATAACCTGTATGCCGTATATTTTGTGAGTAAAATAAACAGTCCATTTAAAAAAAAAAAAAAATCACAGCATCACAACACTCTTCCACAACGCACACATTACGTCACCTTTAACGTAACGCTTGCTGGTGTTAATAGGCCTTTATAAAAAATATTGGTGTGCGTGTCTGTGTTGCAGCCCACACGTAAAAGATTTAATGAGTAAATTACAGGTACAAATGACAATTTATGCTTGAGAAAAAACATGGCTTCCGGATACTGTGGCACTTGTAACCTGTAACTGTGATTTCATTGATAAATGTATGTGTATGCCACAACCCTCATTGGATCTCTTTATACAGGGACTGCAAGGAGGAATCTTTTAGTTCCCTGCACCGAAAAACAAAATGACTTTGATACCCGTGTTACCTTCTGCTTCATGTATATTTATATATCCCCACACACATACTGTACATGTGTGTATGTTTTTTACCAAATTATGGTGTGTACTGAGTTACTGTATTAGAGTGGTATACAGCATTTAATGTATTGGAGTGATACACAGTATATATTGTAGAGCTGCAGCTAACGATTATTTTCAAAATTGATTAGTTAGCCGATTATTAAGTTCGATTAATCGGATAAAAAAAATAAAAATAATTTTTAAAATATGGCTCCAGTGATGGGACTACTAGTTTGTATTGAGATTGTAATCCATCACAGGAGCAAGCTTGGAGCGGTGGAAGTAAAAAAGAAAAAAAAAGTGTGGCGTGCAATATAGTGAAATGGAAAGTGTAAAATTATACAGCAATGAATGCAGAATGGCATCGGCTATAGAGGAATACAACAAACCCCAGTAATAGTACATTATAGCTGGCGGAATTCTGCATTGCGCTGTACCATTACTGGGTTTTGTAGTCCTTTATAGCTAGTGGTATTCGGCATTGCACCACTGTATAATGTATTATTGCTGTGATTTGTTGTACTCCTCTATAGCTGGAGGTATTCTGCTTTGCGCTGTATAATGTATTATTGATTGGATTTGTAGTGCTCTATACAGCGTAATGCAGAATACCAGCAGCTATATAGGAATACAACAAATCCCAGCAATACAGTGTACAATGTATTGCTGGGATTTGTATTCCTCTATAGCTGATGGTACTTTGCTCTGTATAATATACAGCACAATGTACCATCAGCTACAAATCCCAGCAATACATTATAGAGCACCGTGTGGGGGGCCAGGGGGGGGGGAGAGTGCAGGCTTACCTGAGCAGTCTTCCAGCAACTTGCTTCTGAGATCGGGCCTGTCTATCGGCTGTCATCCCCCCACACCTGCTCCTCCTTACTTCTTCTCCCCGTGTACCTGTGCCGGTCGTGGATGTGGGCGGGCGATGAGCGTGAGGAGGTGTGGAGCGTGGATGCGGGTGGGCGGGTCTGGCAGCGGGAGCTGGGGAGGAGGTGTGGCGCGCAGCGTGTGTGGAGCCGTGAACAGGGCCAACTAATAGGAAGCCGATTAATCGATGATTGAAAACGTTGACAACTTAGTCGATTCGTTGTTGCAGCCCTAATATATTGTATTGGGTGGTATTCAGTGTATGTTGTATTGGGGAAGTATACAGTATATATTGCACTGGGGTAGTATGCAAATATACAACCCCAATTCCAAAAAAGTTGGGACGCTGTGTAAAATCTACATAAAGACAGAATGCAATGATTTGCAAATCTCATAAACTCATATTTTTTTCACAATAGAAAAAAGATATCAAATGTTTAAACTAAGAAAACGTACCATTTTTTTTAAAAAAAGGTAATTTTGAAATTGATGGCAGAAAGATCTCTAAAAAAAGTTGGGACAGGGCAACAAAAAACTGGCAAAGTAAGTGGAATTTGCAAGTTTCCCACTTGGAGGGTACCATCAATGCTGAAAGATATATCCAGCTTTTAGAGCAGCCTATGCTCCCATCCAGACGTCTTTTCCAGGGAATGCCTTCCATATTTCAGCAGGACAATGCTAAACCGCATACTGCATCTATGACAACAGCATGGCTTCATAGCAGAAGAGTCCGGATGTTTAACTGGCCTGCCTGCAGTCCAGACCTTTCACCGACTGAAAATATTTGGCACATCTTGAAACCAGAAATACGACAAAGACCCAGGACTGTTGAGCAGTTAGAATCCTATATCAGGTAAGAATGGGACAACAGTCCTTTCCCAAAACTCCATCAACTGGTCTCCTCAGTTCCCAGACATGTAGAGAGTGTTGTTAAAAGAAGAGGGGTGGCTACACCGTGGTAAACATGGCCCTGTCCCAACTTTTTTGAGACGTGTTGCTGCCATCAATTTCACAATTACCTTATTTTTTTCTTAAAATGGGAACATTTCTCAGTTTAAACATCTGATATGTTTTCTATTGTGAATACAATATGGGCTTATGAGATATGTAAATCATTGTATTCTGTTTTTATGTAGATTTTACACAGCAGCCCAACTTTTTTGGAATTGGGGTTGTATATTGTATAGTGGTATACAGTAGATATTGTATTAGGGTAGTATTTAGTATATATTGTATTAAGGTTGTATACAGTATATATTGTATTGGTGTGGTATATAGTGTATTGGGGTAGTATACAGTATATATTGTATTATGGTGGTATGCTGTATATGTGGTATTGCAGCAGTAAGTAATATATATTGCATCAGTGTGATATACAGCATATATTGTATTGGGGTAGTATATAGTTTATATTTTACTGGGGTAGTATACAGTATTTATTGTATTAAGGTGGTATGCAGTATATATTGTATTGGTGTGGTATACAGTATATAGTGTATTGGGGTAGTATACAGTATATATTGTATTATGGTGGTATGCGGTATATGTGGTATTGCAGCAGTAAGCAAAATATATTGTATTAGTGTGATATACAGCATATATTGTATTGGGGTAGTATATAGTTTATATTTTACTGGGGTAGTATACAGTATTTATTGTATTAAGGTGGTATGCAGTATATATGGTATTGCAGCAGTAAGCAATATATATTGTATTAGTGTGATATATATAATTTTATTATATTCTGCAAATATCTTTGTACTGACCTGTGCTCCTCCTGCAGCATTCCCTATTAGGTTGTTATTAGGGTTTGAAATCCAGAATGTGCTGACTGCCCTGTGAAGAGAAAGAAGGAACAATTACAAAACAAAACCAATGACGAGTCTTCACCTTACCATTGTAGTTCATTAATTCAAACACAAAAGCAAAATGATAACACAGATGGCACAGATCTTACTCTGTTTAGATGTGGAGGAAATGTATTCCATTTATGTTAATATATTTCTAATAAATATACAGAATACAAGTTAGTTATATAAATTAATATGACTCACATGCAATCAGTGCTGGGCACAGGCACATAATCCCCATACACATGGTCTCGCATTGCTAAGCACATGGCTTCATTGCGATCTGTAGGCAGAATGGTCCCAGCCTTGGTCACCAGGCCAAGGTTGTGATAAAAGGTGTTTCTTTGCTCCACACCATCTTCCAGGAAAAAGCAGTGGCCAAGTGTGTCATAACCAATAGTATCCTTTACCTAAAAGGTACAGAGAGAGAGAGAGCAAAAATAAATAAGTGGTGTTACATTACCTCTGAGCAAGCAGCTAGCAGCACAGTGTACAGACAATATACATCATATATAAATATATATATTAATATATACACTACACAAAGGTTTACTTCTGTATTTCTGTACAGCCAGTCTTGTGGTCTATGCACTCCTCCTATACACTGCATAGGCAGAACGGTGATACACAGCCATGCAGCAACATATATCATCTCTCCACCTGCAGCCTGCTCAATGGACAATGAATCAGCATCACTGTCTATGCCCAACAAGCAGGGAGCATGCATGCTAAACAGGTAGTAGCAGAGGGTATGTATATCACAAGAATGGCTGGCCAGAATTACTAATCTTTGGTAAGTAATTATTAAGCATGGAAAGGCAAGATAGCAATTTTCAAGTGGTTAGTACTGGCTGCCAGCAAGCTTAGACAACTACATCAAAGCAATGATGTGTAGTATTTTTACATGAATAATTAGGACTTTTTTGTGTAGTCTGATGTTATTACATTTTGATAAAAGAGGTAGAAGGCACACAACATTATGAAGGATAACTAATGAGGTTTTATAGGATAGAAATGGGTGAGAGAAGTTAATGATGTATAAGTTAATTGGAGTTTGGAGTTAATGACATAAGAATTTGGAGGTGTCATACCAGCAGACCATGAGTTCCATGAACAGCGACACATCTGGAAAAACAATGATGGATGGCAAGGTTGTCAATGTAAGTTGGGGGACTGTACCCGCCTTCTTCATCCACTGCTCCAGTCATATGGAAATGTACAGGATAACTGCCCAAAAGCTGCTGTCCCATCTTTGTGATCTCTAACCCCGAGAGGTGCACGGAACCAAAATGTTTCTGGATCTAAAGGGAAGTGTAATGCTTTAGTCACTTTAACTGAAGGACAAAAATGCAATGGCACAAAAGGGGCATTTGTCATGTTGATCACTAGTTGTTTCTTTGTAAAACAGCAACAGGGTCACAACATGCAGCTTATGTATCCAATAGTATTACAATGGAATAAACATTTCTTTCACCCCATACCGGACAGCTCTGTGCAGAAGAATGATACATATAAGCTGCAGAACCTTGTGCATTAGTTAATCAGCTGCTATATGAAAACCATACTCCTACACCCCTCTGTAAACAATAAAGAACACTGGCAGAGTCGTATGAGGGATATTTACATGTTTTTTTTAAATCTACATGTAAAAGAAACCATCATGTAAATAAATTCACTAAGATAGGTTAATGTTTTAAAAACCTTGTTTATATGTATATTAATGGTATTACATTTGCTTATTACATATGCAGACTCTGCTTCCTGCTTCACAGTGCTACACAATGGTTGAGCTTTACTGCTTCTTTTCACAATTCAAGTCAATGGGGCTGACTTACTAAAGGTAAACAGGTTGTTCACTTTGCAGGAGAATTTGCATTTTGCAGGGGACGTTTCCCCTTAGTTTAGTGATAAAGGTGAAGCTCATCACCCAATCATGTGCAATCCAAAAATACTTTTTTTTTGGTTTATTTTTCTTGCACATGATTGGATATTCTTTGCAAAGTTAAATTTCACCACATTCACTGAGCTAAAGGAAACTTCCCCTACGAAGTGCAGGTTCCCTGGCAAAGTAAACAGCCTATTTTGCCTTTTGTTAATAAACCCCTATGAGTCAAGAGATCTACTGAAATGAATGCACTCCCCGTGTGGCTGATATCTTATCTCTTCAACTGTTCAGTAAGAAACAGAGTAACTGCACTAGAAGAAGAACTCCAGGCAGAAATTTTATTAACCCTTGCAGTGGGGCTACCCCCACACTGCAAGGGTTAACTGCTCGTTTTTGCCTAGGATCCAAAAAAAGTTATACCCACCCAATCCTCTGAGGCGGCAGTGCTCCCTCCAGCCTCTCTCCTCCTCCACTGCAGCAATGGTATGACCCTTGGCGTCCTCACATTCTATACACTGTATTGGATGTGATGACTCGAGGATTCCTAGACCACTGCAGAGGAGGGGGAGAGAACCGTCAGAGACCAGTCAAAGAGCTGACCTGCTCAGTGGATCAGGTAAGTATAACTTTTTTTATCTGACCCTAGGCAAAAACAAGCAGTTAACCCTTGCAGTGTGGGGGTAGCTCCACTGTAAGGGTTAAAAAAAATTCTGCCCGGAGTTCTTCTTTAATCTGCCCTGCTGAATTGGATGAAATTCAAGCTGTAGGTGGCCCTGTTGCAAGCAACCTGTCCAACAATGTTAAAGTCACATTACAGGATAAAATGTTCCACCAGCCCCCCGCTCCTCCACAATGTTAGTGTAAGCACTTACCTTAAATGATGCCTCTTGATTCGATCATCTTCTTCTTTCCAGTAGTTTTCATCTGTCCTTTCAGCGCTGGTGCCGGTCTCTGATCCAGCGCTGACTCCTCTGTTAGCTGCCACTTCCTGTCCCACGGAGTCTGTGCGGGTGCACGCTGTGCCTCTCCTCGTCTCCCGGCCGAAGATCTGAACTGGGCATGCGCCCGCCCCAAGATCCTTTGCGGCCAACCGAGACTCTTCAGATGTTCGGACGGGAGCGCGCGGCGAAGACACAGGTAAGTTTTAACCTGTTTGAATTTTTTTCATGTTTTTGGATATATCTACTGTTTGCTAGCAGCAGACACGTCACCTAATTTAAAAAAAATCTCCAGCAAAGAAAATGTAATAGACACACAGCAATCAGTTACATCCCATCAGGGAAAGGAAATGAATGTTATCATGGGTTTGAACCATTATTACCTTAATTTGACCGCCAAACGTATCATAACTGAAAAACTGGCAGTGATTGGGCTCATAGCAGGCATCTTCCATTTCCCCTCTGATGAGGATATTTCTGGTCAGAAGTCCAACCTCCGCTCTCATATCAATCCCATCAAGCACCTCACCCACGTGCATATAAAGGGGGTTTTCTGGAGGAAAAGGTCAGGTCTGGGTTATTTAAAGCAAGAAATGGTTATTATATTTTTTTTAAAGAATAAGATTTATTAGGCTTTTAACAACAAAAGAAATACAGACATTAAGAATCAACAAGAAAATACAAAGGCATACAAAAGAAAACAGCCAAAAAAGGTATGAGAAGAACAGCAGCATTAGTGAGCCCACTGGGGGAGCTGGGTAGATGTACAGATGGTTCATCCTTTGGACATTACACCAGGTATGAAAAATTCACTACCATACATGACTTGAGGAATAACCTAATGTTATAATGACAGTATAAGATAGTAACATCTGTGTCAGGTCAAAAAATGAATCCTGTAACAGAGCCCCATTGGGCCACCCAGTGCTAAGAACTCACTAGACAAAAGGCCGCTAGGAGAGAAGAGGTGGAAAGCGGAAAAGGAACAGAAGTAGAAAAAGAGAAAGAAGACTAGCAGGTGAAAAAGCAAAAAAGACGCCAGGCTGGAGGAGAGAACCAGGACAAAGGACATTTGGTAATATTAGACATTAGTCAGGCACATAGGAGCTAAACTGGGGTGAAACAGAAACTCCACCCACACCCCAAACAGACGTAAAAGTAAAACAGACGTTGGTATCAGATAAACTGGCCGAAATTGTCCTTATTTTTTTATGAAATTAGTAATTAATTATATGTTGGTTTAACATTCAGCTGCTGGCAAAGTGATTTTCATACTTTTTAATTAGAAAAGTGTATTTGCAGAAATTGAAACAGAATGGAAAAATTGTGACAAAGCTCTGATGCTCAGGAGAAAATTGGCCAACATGTGGCTGGTTTCTTGTGGTGAGACAGTGGAAGCCGTCTTTGGTTAGCCTTGATCAGCCTAAAATGGCCAATAACATGAACACATAAAACTCTGTTAAAGTGGAAGTAAAGTCTTCTCAATAAAATAAATTGCTGACAGGCGGATTTTTTTATGGCAGATGGGGCTCTGTAGGACTCTTGCCAAAAAAGCTTCCATGTACTAAGCAGCATATGTGCAGCGCAGGGCATAGGCTCAACAAGGTCCTGTGCCGAAGTAAAGGAACTCCCAGGTCCAGGAGTTATATCATGAAAGCCCGGCCATTCAAGAGGCTGAGAACGTCAAACCTGAAAGACTGGGAGAAGATGGAACCACTTGCAAAGGAGGGGAGAGGAGAGCGGACAGTGCCGTGCTGGAGGGGATCACCTACAAGGTAAATTGGCCATAATGTGCTATTATGCTGTGCACAGTAGAACATTAGGGCAAACGCCTTTTTTTGGTCCCCACTTTACTTCCACTTTCAGGTCAAAAGAATAGGCATAATGCTAGTGGGCTTGAAGTTAGATTATAACATATAGGACATATTAGTACAATGTATTTAGCCATATCACAGATGAACATCTATAGTAACGGGAGCTGCTAAATAATTACGTTTATCGCACAAGATATATAGGAGTTTTTTCTTACTGTCAATTTTGACCTGGTTGCTTTTACATTCAGGGCAAAGAAGCAGATTGAATTCTTCAGCTTGGTACATGGAGTAATCAGTACTTGAAACGACTATTCTGTTACCAGGCAACCAGGTTGTAACGTCATCCGCTAATGTAAGAATGATGCCCCTGGACACCGCCACTCTGAATCCATTCCTCGGAACGCCTAATGGGTCAAAGCAGACGTGTTAATGCCCTTCCAGAGAAGTAGGTGACGGAGATGCATCCTTATCGTCTGCACTGTGGAATTAAGTCATCAGAAAAATAACTGATTTTTTCTGCTCTAAAGAAATGCTATCTGTTGTTAGAACTCATTTTTGGTTAGTATAGAGCAGGGCTAGGCAACCTCGGCACTCCAGCTGTGGTGCAACTAAAAATCCCATCATGCCTCTGGGAGTCATGTTTGTGGCTGTCAAAGTCTTGCAATGCCTCATGGAAATTGTAGTTCCACCACTGCTGGAGTGCTAGTTGCCTACCCTTGGTAGGTACCAAAAACAGATAACTGGGGCAAACGGACCAACCCACCAAACCTACATACCACATCCCTATAAACTGTATCACCAAAAATAAACCCCAGTAGGTACTGAATATGGGACTTTTCAGGTGCTGCATCGACATTCTCAGAAGACATCATTGTAGCACCGGAAAAGTCCCATATATAAATA